TTTTTTTTTTTTTTTACTTGAAGGAGTTACTTTTCTGCTTTCTGAAAGTGAAGGTTACCAGTATAGTTGGCTACCAAGCTTTTTAGTTCATTAATTACCAAAGACAAGCTAAGCACATTTAAAATAACATTTTCAAGATGGAATTCTACAGTATGAGAGAAACAAATTTCTCAAATACTAACAACTTGCCAATGGACCAAAACACAAAAGAGCAGTCAGTGAATTTTTCCAAGCAAAATCTGAAAACAGCTTTGCAAATCCAGTTATTAAAAACCTGTCAGTGGTAGATCAAGAAATACTCCTCAAAGATCAACAATGGTTACTACTTCTAGTACTGGTTATGCCAAGAAACTTATGCAGACACATAAATGACTTCTTTTTCCCTTTCCCAGAAATATGATTGGCTGTCATATAGTAACTTTTCAAATACTTGCAGCAATCCACACTATTTCCTTCAGCCTAAGCAAAAAGGATGAAACCCCCTACTATTTAAATAGATCCTGAAATAAGCATCAACCTACTTGGCTTTTAACAGCAGTTCTCTTCACATTTTGAACTCTACCTACAGAAGTAAGGTCAATTTAAAGTATAGACATGGTGCAAAATGTGTCTCAGTCACTGTAATTTTGTAGCAATGTTATATTGTTTTTATTCAATATCTGCGTTGCTGTGAACCTAGGTCCAGTTACCTTGGAGTACTTTATTGCAGTTCTTTTCATTGTAAGAATAACTGAACCTTGGGACCCTCTGTGTTGTCTCAAGATTTAAATACATGTCTTAAAACAAATAACTTACCTAATGTAAGTTTCATAATAGCGTGTTCTATCCAGGAAAGCCATAAAATGTGGAAAGAAACATTTTAAATCAGATAGATAAAATAATTTTAATAAATTCATTATCAATAGTGACCACAATCATTCTGTATTTTGACTGTCCAATTAAACTGTTTTAAAGAAATACTTTTTATTTTCACAGTTCATTAAGAAAATGCAAAGGCAGATTACAGTCTGTTTAAGTAAATAGAGTTATCCTTGTGGACATGAAATCAGTTGTGTTAGTCATAATTATCTGTGTCAATATATAATAGAAAATAAAAAGGAAAAAATCACCACCACTACTCTCATAACCTAGTATATTAATAAATATTAATTTTGAGATTACTATCCAATTTATTCTTTTAAATTATAATATCTGCTTCAGTATGCTTGTTTATTGTTTACACACTTGTTTATGTTTAACTCAAATTCAACTTTACCTCTTGCTGCTTGATCTTCTGTGTTTATCATGATCAACTCTCGAGTATGAGTGATACCCATTTTCAGATCTGTGCTCATGATTTCCAATGTTTGGGTGCTTTCCATTAGTAACTTTGGACATGTTGGCATTATTGAGATTGGCATTTGTTGAATTTGGAACTTGCTTTCCTACTGAGTTGTGGTTATGATGATTGTGGAACACAGAATTTCCTGCATGAGCATACATGTTTTTCTCAGCATCACTTGCAGATGGAATTGAAGGCCTCTGGACATGCAGGGGACGATGTGTGGTATTGATCTGCTGAAACGAATCTCTTCTATCACAGCTTACATGGTTTATGTGGTTTCCAAACAGGGCACCATTCCTCTGTTAAAAAAGAAAAGAAAAGAAAAAAAAGACAGAGATTTCATGATGCTTTCTGTAGTTGTGTGTGACTGGTGATGATGTTCAGATCAGTCAAACTGATACATCTGTTACTGATAACACGAAGTGATCATTCAATTCCTTTGCTGCTACCTAGTGTGGTGCCCAAAGTACCCAACAGTCTAGTAGTTTGTAGGGTACCCCAAATTTCTCAAAGTAACTTTACCTATCCTGCATCTATTGTGTGTGTACACACACACACACACACACACACACACACACACACACACACACACACACACACACACACACACACACACACACACACACACTTTGATGGACTTTGCTTCAGTTTTTTCTTGCATCAGCCATTTGCAACATATCCTTATCAGAAACAAGAAGTGCCATGCAACCATCTACAGATTTGAGTCAAGTGGATAGCACTAACTTAAACCTCTGTATGAGGAAAGAATGGAAAATGGATTTATGAGCAATAGCTCATCTGCCATGGAAATTCTTCAGCGTGCAATGGATAATAGTGAAAATAATGAAGTGATATCTACTTTATTGCCAAAAATATGAATGATATGCAGCTATCTTTTACATCTGATCCAGATGACACAGTCTCCCTGTCTAGCCATGTCTGGGTCTTAGATGACAGCAGTCTATCTTGAAGCACAATCTAGAGAAGACAGAGGTAATGCTAGTTGACATCTAATGAGAGAAGTTGTGGTGTTGTCTGACCCTACAGTGCTACACCATCCTTTTATAAAACATGGCGAACTGTAGGAATATTTGGCATAGTTAGTAGTTTCTAGTAATATGGTTATGAACAGAGTAGGCATTTTTCTTTGACTGATTAATCAAATGTACTAGCTGTAAGCCAGATAGTTTGGTTAGGAATTGCTACACCTTATTCATAATGTACAACTAATCACCTAAGCTGCATCGCACTGTTCTCTTGCTGGCTATCCACAGTTTATTGAAAAAAAGAAGCTCATTTATACTTAAAACATTAAGAATAGCAATTGTTAAACTATTAATACATTATTAATAATAACCCTGCCCAAGGGATTTTGGATAAAAAATCATGTGCTAAAATTTGCAAAAATGTTGAAGTTTGCAAACATTTAAACAAATACATAGTGGCTATCCAAAAATGCATGAATATTGAACAACATGAACCCACCAGTAGCAAGTGATCTTGGCATTTCTAATTGTGGAAATTTTTACCAGCTTGCTTTTTAAAGGTATCTATACCTGCCTGTGACCTTTTGCTTGGATGTGGAATTTAAGCAAGCATCCCTTTTAGCCCTTCCACATTAGACAGCTGCAGCACTCTCTGCTTGGACACCCTAAAGACTACTCAGAATACGTCACTAATGTGCAATGTAAATTTCCACTTTATTAGTGGCATCAACAGCATCTTACAGCTATCATCCCAAGCCTTTCAGCTAGCTTTTGTGCACTATTCGGTGTGCTCATTTTAAGCTTCTGGCCTCTGACTGACATTCACCCTCATTGATCTAGCACGACTTCTGAGCATAGTTATTTTTGGAATTATTACTTTATAGACATCTTCCTCTTCCTCTTGGTTATTTTCTTCTGGCTCATCATCTTGCAAGTCACAGGATATAGCTCGACGAATTTCAGGACCAATGTCATGAAGTGTTCTTAGTCCCGCCTAAATCAATAAAAATATCATAAAACATTAGGAAAATACCATGGTTTAATTTCCTGAAAGGAATCATAGGCAGATAACTTTTACTGAAAGGACAGTCCATGTGTCAAAGTTAAGTCTAGACACCTCAATATAAATACATCCTCATTTTCAAGGTGTCATAGAATCATAGAATCAATGAGTTGGAAGGGACCTAGACAGATCATCTAGCCCGACCCCCTGCCATGGGCAGGAAGGAGCACTGGGGGTGGGAGCCAGGTGCCTATCCAGTCTCCTCTTGAAGATCTCCAGGGAAGGTGAGAGCACCACCTCTCTGGGAAGCCTATTCCAGGCTCTGGCCACCCTTACAGTGAAGCAGTTCTTCCTAATATCTAACCTAAACCTATCCTCCCTCAGCTTGTGGCCATTGTTCCTGGTGACTCCAAGGAGGGCCCTGGTAAACAGACTATCCCCGAGTCCCTGCTGGTGGCCCCTGGTAAAGTTGTAGGCAGCCACAAGATCCCCCCTCAGTCTCCTCTTGTGGAGGCTGAAGAGATTCAGGTCCCTCAGCCTCTCCTCATAGGGCTAGCCACGGAGGCCCCCAACCATACGAGCGGCCCTTCTCTGGACCCTCTCCAGGTTCTCCACGTCCGTCTTGAAGTGCGGCACCCAGAACTGGACACAGTACTCCAGCTGCATCACCTTACAGAACTGAATATTTATAGGTTTATTCTGCTCCCTTGAAGCCATCATGCTTATATTAGTATGACTCTGCTGAGCACAAAGCCTAACTGAAAGCCCACTGAGGTCAATGGAAAGACTCTCAATGATTTTAGGTGGCTTTGAATCAACCTCTTGGTACAATATATTTATGGAAATAGCATCCTGCCAGAGACCACTGAAACACAAAAATGAATAATCTCCTTAAGATGTATTATTTCAATGAGAAGAATAAAAGATGAAGATGTCTGCCACCTTTCCTTTCATACAGGAAGTAAAGGGACATCCCCAGTTACAGTAACAGGATTAAGGATGCTCTGAAAGATGATGAGGAAGAGAGAGGAAGGTGGTAAAAAGCCAGTGCTGGTAAAGTAAACCTACAAGCCATGTAGGTCTCACCCTTTGGGCTAGGGACAGACATTCAAATAGCCTGAGCTTGAATTGATTCAATCTTTGCAAGTTAGTCTAACCTGGCTATGCTAAACCAGTTTGTAATTGTACAGACATCCCCTCTGGACTGAAGAAATGCAGGCACATGCCTGCAGTGGCTCAGGCCAGAAGCCAGGGGGTACTAGAACAGCGCTCCCTTCTCTTCTACAGTGCTGAGCAGTGGGTGGGGCATAGCCTGGCCAGATGCTCTGATTAGACATGCTCCCCCCCACCACCCTTGCTGTTCCTGACCAGTGAGGGAGCAAGCAGGGAGTTAATAACAACATTTAGTTACACAGCAGGGGGTTACACGGGAGTTGACAGCATTTAGCACCATTTAGCACCCCAGGGAATTGACAGCATTTAGCAGTCAAACCACACAAAAGCCTCTCTCATTAGTTCAAGCTCTTCTTAAACAGCTTTTTCCAAGGAAGGAATGGGAGGGACATTACCAGCTACCTGTTGATTAGCTCCAAAAAGCCCTAAGTGGACAAGGGTGCCTCCCATACCAACTGGCAAGAAGATATCAAGAATTGCAGGGGCCAGAAAGGCTCCTGCTGCATCCTGCAGCCCAGTGCTGCAGCTAGGAACCACGTGGTGCTGGAGCAACTGGTGGGGGGTGGAGGGGAACAGTCGCAGCGGCAGGGAAATGGCTGCGGCGGGCAGGCAGGCAGAAGTGGCAGTGAGTGGGCAGGAGTGCAGCAATAGCTGGACAGGAGTCCGGGGCCCACAGGGGGTGGTGGGAGTGCAGGGTGTGGGCTGGCAGAACTCTATGGAGCCATGCCGGGCTGTGCCAGCAAGGAGAGGGCCCCTGTTGGCCCTGGTGCACCAGCATGGACCCGGCATTTCTGCCCAGCTGTCACTTAGCTCCACATTCCTGCTTGCTGCCTCTTCCCCCTGCTGTTTTCACAGCTTCCCTGCCTGTAGCTGCTGATGCTCCTGTCCAACACCCTGGCCACTCCAGCACCATGAGGTTCTCAGCTGCAGTGCAGGACAGCAGCAGCCAGCTCAGCCTGACACTAAGGACTCGGGTGATTGCCTGTGGTCCTCCCCTGCCTACCCTCCCACTTATCTAAATTACCCTCTGGTGCAGGGAGGCAGGAACAGGCCCAGGGGCTCAGGCCAGAAGCTTCTGCTTGGCAAGGGGCTTCTGGCTGTGGGTGGGGGGATGGGGCCATAGGCCTTGCTTCTGTAGCTGCTTGATTCTGCTGGTGGCTTCCCCTGGGTCCTACTGCCCCTTGCTTCTGTCAACTTTGACAGGCAGCCAGGACCAGATAAATATTAATTTTCTAAAATTTTTAGGGGCCCTGCAGGCTGGATAGAATGGCCTGGCGAGCCGATCCAGCCCGTGGGCCATATTTCACCTGCCTCTGAGCTAATCTGTGCTTTGCTAACATATACAAGGAGAAATATATTGTCTGCCCACCCCAAAACACCAAAACACATTTCTGTGCAAATGCTATATGAAATATCATCTGCATGTCAGTCTGAAGGATGTGCATTCAATCCTGGATACTGTTATCTGAAGCTGAAATGAAACGTTAACTTCTACAACTCAACTCCTTTCTGCATGCCATCAAAAGTGTATAAGAAATGGAAGTTTTCCATGCCTGCTTAGCTCATTACATTACCATTAGATTTCATTCTAACTGTTATGTCCCACAGTGCACTAGTTACATTGGCAAAAAAAAATTGGGACCACTGTATTTGCCTCATGGACAAACAAATTTGAAATTTGTTATGTTTGGACAAGTCTTCCCTCAGCATACTTTCCCAGTCTGGGTTAACATGTAGTCTAATAGCAAAGGAGGTAGTGAGCTTTCATATAACTAAAATGTAAATTACTTTTTCCAAACAGACATGTACTGCTATACAATGAAGGACAATGCCTCTTCATTGTCTTTGCTTGCTTATTCACTGACATAAAGAAGTCAATAATTCACTTGAATTAATTTTCTTTACGTTTATACTATGGAGCTGAAAAGAACAAAGGTGAACAAATATCTGTCAAAATTTGGCATGTCTTGGAGACATCTACATTATGTGTCCAGGTAATGAAAATCAACAGCAATACAAGAACCAGTCAGAAAACCACATCTTAAGTCATAACTTGGAACCAATTTTCCCATAGAAAGTGTTACAAAAGGGGGGTTGGTTCCTTTATGATGGTTAATACCATGTGCACCTGATAAGTGGTGGAAGGGGAGATGGAAGGGAAGGGGCATAGGGTGGTGACAGATCAACATCCCCTGCAGTGAGGGATGGACTGGGACTGAGGCAAGCACTGCCCAGCCGGGGCTGGGTGGGCACAGGGAGGAGGGGGCAGTAGCTCCCGCTGCTGCTCACTGCTCATTTGGCAGCTCGACTGGCGGTTCCCACCACTGCTTCTGAAGCTACCACCGCTGCACGCCACTTATCTGGAGACAGTGCAGCATCTCCACCTTGTGCCCATCCTGCCCCAGCTGGGCAAGCAGTAGGATGGCATGGGAGGACATGTGCCCCCAGATCAGGGTGGGGTGGGCAGTGGAGCGGGGACTATGGGGGCAACTGTAGTCACCTGAAAATTCACCATAGCCCCCACCACCTGCCCAGAACGCAGCCC